AACCGATTCTCAGATCTTATGGAGGAACCTACTGGACTTGTCCATTGGCAGACCAAACGTAAGATTGAGATCATGCATGGTTCGGTCCCTCCCAAGGGCCGAGTCTATAGGATGTCACCTGCTGAACTTGATGAGCTCAGGAAACAGTTGGAGACCCTGACCAGCAAGGGCTGGATCAGGCCCAACACATCTGAGTTTGAAGCACCAGTCCTCTTTGTTCCAAAGGGGAATGGTGAATTCAGGATGTGTGTGAACTATCGAGGTCTCAACAAAATCACGAGTCCACAAAGCCTCTTCCTCGCATTGATGATTTGTTGGATATGGTGCAGGGTTGTACCATTTTTAGCAAGATCGATCTCAAATCTGGGTATCACCAAATTGAGATGGCTGAAGGCAATGTCCACAAGACAACCTTCAAGGCCAGGTATGACACTTATGAGTACTTGGTCATGCCATTCGGTCTTTGCAATGCCCCAGGCACCTTCTAGACAGGGATGCATCGCATACTCAGGCCTTATCTGGACAAATTTGTAGTTGTCTACTTGGATAATATTCTGATATTCACTCGATCTGCCCAGGAGCATGCGCAACATCTGGCTCTGGTCCTCTAGGCCTTACGTGATAACCAGTATAAGATCAATAGGGAAAAATCCTCTTTTGGGGTTCCCTTTGTGATCTATCTGGTCACGCCATTTTTGGAAAGGGGTTGGCTCTTGAAGCAACGAAAATTGCTGCCATTCAGGACTGGCCACGACCTGCTAACATTTGTGATGTCTGGTCATTCTTGGGGCTTGCATCTTATTATACGAAGTTCATCCAAAACTTATCTTCTATCGCAGCTCCCTTGACCGATCACAAAGAAAGACACTTCCTTTCTTTGGACATCGGAGTGTCATGAGGCTTTCACACGTCTCAAGGAGGCCTTGATTCGTGCCCCTGTTTTGAAGTTGCCTGACCCTACTTCGCCTTTTGTGCTTACCACTGATGCTAGTCAATATGGTGTAGGGGCGGTACTTCAACAGGATGATGGGAATGGTCTGCAGCCAATCGAGTACATGAGCAAGAAGATCAAGACCAAGACGCTGTAGAACTCCACCTATGAGAAAGAGTTGTATGCTCTTGTGTCGGCGCTCAAGCATTGGAAACACTTCCTCCTGGGCAGACACTTCAAGATCTTTTTAGATCACTCCACCCTGCAGTGGATGAAGTCCCAGGGAGAGTTGAATGACAAGCTTGCTCGCTACATTCAATTCATCGACATGTTTGACTTTGAACTCAAACACAAGAAGGGTTGCTACAATAGAGTAGCAAACACCCTTTCTTGTAGGCCTGACACTCTCTTTCTGATCTCCTTTACTCACTCATTTGGAGAGAGGACTCGTTAGACCATTGCCCGGTTGCTGCCCCGGGATGCGATTTTTGGGCTTATAGTGAGGAATCTCCAGGATGATCCTACAACTGAACCAGGATATACTATGGTTTCAGACCTGCTGTATACTTGCAGCAGAGGCGAGGGACGCTTGTTCATTCCCCAGGACCGCAAGTTGAGAACACTTCTGATGTCAGAGTGTCATGATGCTTGTGGTCACTTTGGAGCCCTTAAGTCATATGCTGCCCTGTCGCAGCGCTTTTTCTGGAAGGAGATGAGGAGTGACATGCTGCACTATGTGGAAACCCGTGAGTTATGCCAAAGGAACAAGGTAGTACGACGACCTCCCCTTGGCCTACTCAAACCACTACCCATCCCTGAAGCAGCTGCACAGGCAGTGTCGATTGACTTTACTGACTTGGGTAGGACCACACCTCGTGGTAAGCGTCAGGTTATGGTATGCGTGGGTCGGTTTTCCAAATACGCAGAGTTCATCCCCTTACCAGCCGAGGCTCGCGTTCCAGCCGTTCAGGCGGCATTTGCTGACAGGTGGGTTACACATCATGGACCACCCACCTCTATAGTCAGTGATCGAGATCCCAGGTTTTGCAGCAATGAATGACAATCCTACTGCAGGGATTACCTTCATTCTCGCCTGGATATGACATCTCGTCGTCATCCCGAAGCCAATGTTCAGGCTGAAGTGATGAACCAAATTTTGTTTCAGTTGTTGCGTCCTGTGATCAGTCCAGACCAGCAGGACTGGGATCTCCACTTGAGTCGTGCACAACTTGTGTATAACACTTTTGTACACTCCTCTACAGGCTTCACACCCTACCGGTTGCACTGGGGTCGTAAGCCATGGCAACCTCTCGATGACATCATCTATAAGGCTACCCCTACGTTGACACCTGGGACTGCAAAGTTCACCAGGCGTTACCGTGTGGACATAGAACGCGCCCGTGCCAACCTGCTGAAAGCCCAAAAAACTTTGATTCAGCAGGCTAACAGGCACAAACGTCCTTCTACGATTCGCATAGGTGACTGGGTGTGGGTACTTAGTTCTGAGTTGTCACGAGAGGAGGACATTTCGCCTAAGCTGTTGCCGCGATATATGGGTCCATGGCAGGTCTTAGATACAGTGGGAGCCGATTTTTTGGACCATCCTTTACAGTGGATGTCCCTTTGCATCTACAAACCTACCTTGCCTTCCATGCATCTAAGCTGTTGCCATTTACGTCAGCTGATGCATTCCCAGACAGGCCTCATCAATCTGGACCTCCCATCCCTGGCAAGGGATATGACGTGGAGTCCATTGAGGATGAGTCAGGTACAAGACCAGATAAGGAATACCTTGTGAAGTTTTGTTACCAGCCACACACTGAAGATCGCTGGTTTACTCGCAACGAGCTTCTGAAGACCGCAAAGTCTGTTGTCCTCAGAAACGAGGCAGCATAAAAGGGAGAACCCCTTCGACGCTCTGCACGCCTACGCCCCTAGCTCGGAGGTCCTCGCTCCGGGGGAGGGTAGGTCTGCAATGACTTGCTGTTTTCTGGTTGCCTGTATCCTCTCTCTGTCGAGGCTGTACGATAGGTAGGACAAATTCATAATTTTGTTTGGCTGAGGGCTAACCGAGTGACCTGCCTATAAGGAAAATTCGTGAAGGACATATCTGTAAAATCCGGAAAATACAGGCCCGTACTAGCTGAATTTCCTACAGCTACCCTAACTGCGAATAGCAGACCCGGGCTACCCCTCGGACAGACAGGTCCTAAGGGCCTAAGCTGATAGACGGTCCTATAGCCTATAGCCGGGTTGGGATAGGCCCTAGAGGCCGAAACAGAAACGGTACCGGTCGGTCAGTCGGTCCGGTCTAGGTTGAGTCTAGGCTAGTTTAGACTATTAATAGGATGGGCACATCGGTTCAGGGTTTTTGGCAGTTGGTACAGTGTACATCGCTGCTGCACAACGCGTGAACTGGAAGTGGTGACGGATCAGCGTTGAGGGAGACCGACGTAGCCAGACCTTCGGAGCGCCGGCCATAGCTGGGACCTGCGCTGTACTCTGTCAGCACGCGGGGCTGTACAGGGTCTGGGCTATTCGAGGTCTGCTGGAGGTGAGAAAAGTTGGTGCCCTGCTGGACCCTCCTCCGGAGTGGGGTCACAGGGTTGTGGTGCTGCAGCCATAGCTTCAGCTCCTTCCTCAGAGGTCATCTTGTCAAGAGTGGTGGTGCTGCTGCAGATTTCCACCCGGGAAGTCTTCCGACACTTCGTCATCATCAGATACTGGGGCGCTGGTCTTCTTCTTCATCCTCTGGGTGGCGCTTGGCCTAAGAGGTTGGCACTTTCCTCTAGAGGCTGTATCTGGGTGGCGCTTGATGTTTTAGGGACTCAAAGGGGTTACTAGGTGTTACTCAGGGTTGGGGAGTGAAGCGTTGCTCACTTCTGAGCAGCGCATCATAGTTCTGAGTTATTATGACAATTCGAGACTCTGAGTTTAATAAACAGTGCTGACACTGGGTTCAGACTATCATCGTTTCATTGTTTCTTGGATGTGATCTACTCGGCTTTCCTTTATGACTGGTTGTGAGGATTGAGTGGAGTGAATTGACCCTCTCATATCGCATGGTCAAGTCTTCCGCTGTGTTTATCTCTCCCTGTGCGGTATGATACTCCTATCCTCTTCACTTCCTTCTGTGTATGTATGGGCATACCTGGGAGTCTATGTGAGTGAGTGCTGGTCTTCAGACAACAGACAACCAGAATCATAACAGTAGGTTGTAACCCAGTTTGACTGTGTATTCTTGAATGGAAACATTAGTTTTGAGGCTTCTATTTCTGTTTGGTGTCCAAGCCCACTCTGCTGGATCAAATTCCAAGTCTTGAATCGCCGTATCCATTCTGAAGATTCTTTTTGGCCATGGCCCCAATACTCTGACTTTTCTGAGTACAAAAGGGTTTAGGACTGTTCTTTCCACCTCTTTATTCAGGATAGATGGAGGGTCTTGCGTGGAGGGGGTAATTGGGAAGGATGTGAACACTGCCTGGGTATCGGACCCTTGCTGAAGAATTGATAGGCCCTTGTGGGGGTTAACTCCTGCACCCTCACTCCCCATTCACCCGATTTCCAAGTTCAGCCTTCGCTCAACAACTCCTTCCAGCCTTCTGGGATGCAGTTGATAATGGATTGTAGATTCTCGTCTCGTCGGTGACATCCTTTGAGCTGGGAGGCTTCACCCAATCCTTTTTCTCCTCGTTCCATAGATGGCTCACCTTCCAAACTCCATGTTTGATCCATGAAAGCCATCTCCTTCCTGTAGGCTTTTTTTTTTTTTTCCCTTAACTTCCGGATGTCTGGATTTTTCCGGATGTCAGTTCGGCCGGACGTCCTGCTGTTTTCTGGGTCCAGGTCCGGCGTAACCATGGTAGGACAGTTTAGGCTTTCATTGAGTCATTATAAACAGCTGTACTTCAGTTCTTTCGGGCCAGGCCGCATTGATGCTGTGTCAATGCTTTAGTTAGCATAGCACATGAACCCAGCCAGAATTAGGATGAGGTTCATGCCAACTTCGGACAGACATATCACCAGTGCCATTTATCATTTTAGAAAAGGAACTTGGCAGAAAACTTACCTCAAGCTTGAACTTCCCGAGGTTACAGAGGTAATTTGGCATTCCCGCAGAATCTGATTCGCTCACTGCCAAGGAAATCTGTCAGGCACAGAGAGACCCAGCTTAGGCACATGATTGAGTCTTCGTTGAGAATCTTGTTCATCTTCTTGAAAATATTCAAACTTCAAAATGATACATTTTATTTTATATAAATGAAATGATTCAGTCAGTGAAACTCCAACGGAACAGTCTGTGGCACAGCCCCCTGTTTCTTCAACTGTCTTGTCCTTCTCTCCCTTTCTGCCAACGGCTCACTGTGCAGTTCTCTGTGTATATAGCCAGATATCTATCAACTAAAAGAGCGCACTTTGCAAAACAAATGAAGCACACTGAAACCGTTCTTTTCTTTCAATACTTCGGATTTTGTTGTGGCTTCTCTTACATTTCTTCTTTTTGCTCCCCCTTTACTGTGCCTCTCACGTACAAGGCTCGCCGCATTTTGTGTGTGTGTGTGTGTGTGTG